TTTTCCTTCTACTTTTTACTATCCCATCTAAATTTGGCATTTTATGGGACTTTTTTCATTCCCAGAGGAAAGAGTGAACTTGAATCAGATTTGGGGGCTCTCTTTCCCTCTCTTTCTCTCTGCCCACCCTTTTTAATTTATGTGATTTGATGTGCTCAGTAGTGAATTTAAGTAACTGAATTCTCAATTGCTAGCAACCGTTAGTATGAAAGATATAGTTTATAGGCTTGATTTATTATTATATCATTTTAAATTATCACTGTAGCTCTGGTTTAGGTTATAGAAAAAAGCTGTCTAGAATATTTAACATTATAATTGGAAAAATGTCTACTTCCCTATGAAGTTTCTGGAGTGATACAATTTCTATATGCTATTAATCTTGACTTAGGAAAAGAACATCACAAAGCATTAGGGATCAAAACATTGCATTATACATTTTCTGACTGTTTATCATTCTTTCTATAGTCATCAGGTAATAAGGTAGGGATTAGTGTGGATGACCTCATTTCTAAGTGGCCTGTGTAAAAGATTCTTACTGGAATCATCATGAGGTCCATAGAAATTGAGAAATAATGAAATGCTTGAAAAGAGTTTTTCCCTAAGTTTTAAAGTCCTTTATAAAATAATTTTTCCAAACATTTTAAAACATTGGATAATTTTAAGTGACTACTTTGACTTCCATCCAAATAGTAGCTAAGTGGTTAAAATCAACATTAATGTGCTTTAATAGAGTGATAAAATTAACTCATTCTGTTCATGATGAACCTGATGTGCTAGACCAGAGCTGAAAGGCTTAAGGGTTCTGGATATTTGACAATTTTATAGGCTTTCATTTAGTTCCACAGATTATATTCTGAGGATTTATTTTCTTTTCAAACAAAAGACTGTAATGCTATAGAGAAGAATAAAGGTCAGGCTTTAAAGCAGCCCAGTTAGGCTGGAAAAGAATGCACTTCCACATTCAAGTTTCTTCTTTTAAGCTTTCATGGTTTGATATATGTGTATATATACCTACATACATACATATATATATATATATATACATATTTTTAAACATGAGTGTCATATAAATGAGGGCAGATGAAATCATGTCTTTTCGAATTTAGAAAGGATAATACAAGAAATTAAAATTTTATATTAATGGAACATTAAAAATGAGTGACAAAACTACAGAAAACAAAAAGATATTGGATGCTGGAGTAAAAGGGCAGAGAGGAGGGATGAAAGGTGTGGAATTTTTAGGGCAACGAACTGTTCTGTATGGTACTATAATGGTGTATATATGACATTATGCATTTATCAAAATCCATAGAATCATACAACACAAAATATGAATAGTAGCTGTGGACTTTAGTTAACAATAATGTACCAGTATTGGCTTATCAATTGTGACAAATGTGCCATACTAATGCAAGATGTTAATAATGAGAAAAGGAGAGGGATGTATATGAGAATTCTCGGAACTTTCTGCTCAATTTGTCTGTAGACCCAAAAGTGCTCTAAATAATAAAATATATTAATTATGAAAAAATTAACTGATTTAAAAATGAAATGCTTATTCCCTATAAGTTCACAGAGCATATAAAAATGAGGTGTCATAATGAAGCAATGTTTTTATTTATTTTAATTCATCATATTTTTTACAATGGTCCCTAAAATTGCACAGGTTGGATGCAATGTTAAATTTTTTACATGTTGCATAAGAAACATTCAAATTTGGCAATATGAGAGATTACATATCCTTAAATACTCCTATGTGAAAGTATTTCAAAATTCTCACGAAAATCACCCTTTTCAATTAACAGTTGACTTCCAAAAAGACTGAAAAAGGAGAGTGAATCTGGAAGCTATTGGCTACCCTGGGGGCATATATTCCAAAATCTTCAGTTGGTCAGAGCTTGAGCATTAATAGTCTACAGAAGATTGGGAAAAGAGTCTAAGCCTTGGGTTTATGAAGGGAATGAAATCTGACTGAAGACTGGAATAAAGAAAGGGATGACAAATGGCCAACTCCAAGGAAAACGATGAATAAGAGAAAGTATTGCTGAAGAAGACAACAAATGTATCTTAGCTATTGCTACAAATAGAGGGAATTTCAAAGGGAAAGGAAGGAAGGAAGGAAAAAAGGGAAGGAGGGAGGGAGGGAAGGGAAAGAAAGAAGGAAAGAAAGAAAGAAAGGAAAGAAGGAAAGAAAGAAAGAGGAAAGGAAAAAAAGTAGTTTCTTTTCATGAGCATTTGTGGAATCAAGTTTTGGGGTCCATATTTACAATATATGTGCAAAAAATAGCTACAATAAAACCCACAGCCAATCCTGCAATCTAAGAATATAAAATTGATCCTACATGATTATGTCCCAGCTATCCCACAGAAGCAAACAAAATCACACTTGAACTAGGCTTCAAAGATAGGTATCACACTCAACCCAAGTGCTGTAGTCACTTCAGGCTGCTATAACAAAGTATATCTTAGACCGATGGCTTATAAACAACAGACATGTATTTCTCACAGTTCTGAAAGCTGTAAGTCTGAGATGAGAGTGTCAGCATGGTCAGGTTCTGGGGAGGGCCTTCTGGATTACAGAGTCCCAACTTCTTATATTCTCACAAGGCAAAAAGAAAGCTAGAGGACTCTCTGGTTTCTTTTTTAAGGTCCCACTCATAAGAACTCCATCCAATTACCCAAAAGCTTACCTCCTAAATCCATCACATCGAGGCTTAGAATTTCAACACATGACCACTTGGGGCCAGAAATATTCAGTCCATTGCACCAAGCTCCAAAAATTGCTCACATATCAATTAATATGCAATCAATTACAATCAATATGAGTTAAAAAAAAATAATAATGATAATGACAATAGGAAAAAACAGAGGAGAATTAAGGCACCATAAGGAAGAAACAGCAGAAATAACAAAGTAAACTAAACCCAAAGATTTCAAATATCAAATATAGCATATGTAATAATTATGCTGAAAAAAATAAAAATAAGCAACAAAAATGTCAGTGAGGAGTTAAGAAACTATAAAAATGACTGAGAAGTCAAGAAATATAACCAAATAAACATTCTAGAATTAAACAATACAATCACTGAAATGAAAATATTAATAAAGGTGCTAAATAGTAGATTAGAGACATCTCAAGAGAGAAAGTCTGGAAGATATATCTGAATCAAAAATACACATGATGCAGGACAGAAAGTGACATGGAAAGTATAAAAAAGAGAATTTAAGAGAGATTGAGGAGACATTGAGTGAGAATGTTCACATACATCTAATTGGAGTTCCAAAATAAGATAATAGAGAAGATAAACAATTTTATTTCAGTGAATTTAAACACTTAAACAAAATAAACAAATTCCTAGAAAAATATAATTCAGAAAGATATAGAAAGCAGGAGTAATCCCTGAAAAAAATTCAGTCAATAATTTAAAATCTTCTTCAAAGAGAAAACAAGACTCAAGTGATTTTACAGGAGACTTCTACCCCCAAATTTTAGGCTTAGATAATAAAAATACAGAATCCCAACCACATCAAAATGCACTATGGTCAATACAAGAATGGAAAATTACAGATTAATGCCATTTATAAACATAGTTGAAAAAATTCTAAACAAAATAATAGGAGAAGAAATCCAGGTGTGTACTAAAAAGACAATACATCACAACCAAGCTTATTTTACTCCATAAATGCAATAATGGTTTAATATTAGAAATATTAATTAATATAACTTAAATAATTATCAAATTATAGAGAAAATCCATCTGTATAGAAAAATAATTATGTTAAATTGTGCATCCATTTATAATTTTAAGAAACCTCTTACTTAAACTAGAAATAAAAAGCTCCCTCCTTATACTGAATGAAAACAAAATAAGATGCCGTTATTGAACCACCCACTTGGCAAATCATAGCAAATGTTGGCAGGGATGTGACTAAACTGGAACTCTTATATATACTGCTTCTGAGAGTGTGGTTTGGTAATGGCTCTTTGGAAATAATCTGGTATTATTTAGCAGATTTTAAGACCCAACAATTCCATTCTACTCTTGCATATGTGCACCAGAAGACCTGCATAAGAATGTTCAAGGCAACATTATAATAACAAAACACTAGAATTTTGAACTAATAAAAAATTAAATATTTGTCAATAGGAGAATTGGTAAATAAATCCTATAGATATAAAATGGCCTACTAGACAGCAAAGAACTATAGCTACAGGTATCAACAGAGATGAGCTAACAAAATGCATGAAGAGAGCAAGTTGCAAAAGTATAAAACCATTTTTACAAAGTTTAAAAAGAAGCAAGTAAACAAAGGAAAACAATGGAATTATAAATGTAAACTCAAGATCCTGGTTTCCCACAGAAAGGAGGACAGATGCTAACAGAGAGAAGCACAGAGAGGCTTTCAGAAGTGTTGCTAACATCATTTTCTTTAAGTTGGAAGGTGAACAAGCAGGTATTTTGAACAAGTGTCATATTATTATACTTTATGCCATGTATGGATGTTATTTATATTTTTGCCTTTATCAAATATCTTATCATAAAAGAATAATTATAAACATCTAATGTGATACTAAAGTAATTTCATGCAATACATAGAAAACTTCCTTTTATGATAAAGTAAAGACAGATGATGGAGACAGGAAGCATATGGAAAGCAAATGGGATAGTTTGCCTTTATAGCATTGGCTGCATAATATTCAAGCTTTTCGTCCAGTTACAAACAGAATGTATTGTGAAAGACAGCACTGTGCACTGTGGAAGAGCCGAATTGACTGGTGCAAATGTTAGTTGTGATACTTCTTAGTTGTGGGATCTTCGTCTTTGTTTCCATCATCCATAAAGAGATAATAATAGGTTGTAACCCATAAAGTTTTTGTGAGTATTAAATGAGTTAGCACACAGAAAAGGACTGGCATGGAATAAATAATCGATGTTAGATTCTAGTGATTGTTATCTCTTGATTTAATACTTTGAAATGTTCTGTTTGTATTGTGGTAGGCTTTGGTCATTTGACGAAGCAATTGATGACATTGGCTGATGGACGTGTGGTGTTGGCTCTAGAAGGAGGACATGATCTCACAGCCATCTGTGATGCATCAGAAGCCTGTGTAAATGCCCTTCTAGGAAATGAGGTAAAAAAAAGTAAAAGTACAAAAGAGTAGGGGTAAAGGATCAAGGATGTATGCATGCACATTTTAAAAGTCTTTTTAAAAAAATCCTGTGTATTCAGAAAGCTCAATATTGCTCTTACCATTAAGAAAGAGGGCACGCCTTAGATAAGAGAAGTTTACATGTTTTTATGTTATATGCACAAGTGTATAGAATCCATATAGCATTCCCTTCAATCAGGTTAGTCACAGAGCTCAAAAATCAGTAAAGATAACCCTTGGAAAGAAGAATGTTTTGTCTACTGACCCAACCAATGAGTGTTGAAATATTTAATAAGAAATAAAACTAAAAAAAAAAAAGTTTCCTGAGATTTCCGGGAGGATTATGTTGGTTCAGGGAAAAGAAGCTTTTAAAAAATTGATAAACAATTTTGTCATCATTTAAGAATTCTGTATGCTAAGAGATAGATATTATTTCCATCTTACAAATGGTGATAATGAATTTCAAAAAGGTTGAGAAATCTTTCCAAAGTCATACAGCCAAAATGCATTCAATCCAATATTTGAACTTCAATCTAAATTGCCTGGGGTCGTTCTTTTTTATTTAACATTCCATAATGAAATTGCAACATATTTTCCTGACCACTTTGCAGGCACTCAGATGCAACTGCTGTGAGGTTCATTTCCAGATCATGGCAACTTCAGACCAATTAATTGCAATTCAGCAAATATTTCAAAGTTTCTATGTGTTCATTAATGTTATAAATTCACTTTATTTTTCGTAGTGAATGTATGGTAATGTTATGATTATCATATATGTTTCGTCTTTCTTTTGTGAATTGAAACATGATTTTGCTTATGAAATAAACATATACAAGATATCTCTAAAAATTATATTCATATTATTTTCTAACAGTAATCCATGCTTTTGGCCATAATAGTTATGAAAAAAGTACCATTTTTTGCACATCAAATATGTAATTAGAGAGAAAAGTTAATCACTGCTTAAGTACTTTATTCTGTTGTATAATTTTACATAGCAAAATAAAGAATGTAATTATCTAATGATTAGTGTCAACAAAATACTGGTGTTTCAGATCACACAATATTCTAACGTGTCTAAAATTTTCTACAATATTAGAGTCTTTTTGAGATTCCTGTCAACCAATAATGTCAAACAGAATGTTGGGTTTTTGTGTGTTTTTTTTTAGCAATAAAGGACTGCAAGAAATAAATGCTATTTCTATTTTATCAGTTAATGTTAGGCAGCTCTTTTTGCCCACCAGATAACATTTTTTGCACAGTCACCTATATTCTGAAATCGCTTATTTGATTTCAAATATAGAAACATTGTAGAGGGCAGACTGGTTTTAATATTTGCATTATAAAAGCTTACACCAGATGTGCAGCAAATCAGAGTAGGTTGTGGATTGTGGCTCCATGGATGATTGACCTGCCCAAAAAGAAATGTTACCCAGCTACAAAAGCCAACTACTTTTCTGAGTATGTGGAAGGAAATTACGGATTTCACTGGCTCTCTTTGAACACACCCATTCAAATAAGATTCTGTCTGTATGCACTTGAAATAGCTGCTCTTGGCCCAACTCTCTTCTTCCTAGGGAACATTTCCAGTGAAGATGGAATAATCTCTCCTATGATCTCTTTCTTTAAGAGAAGACTATGTTTCAGAACAGATTCAATTGTGCAGAGATACATATTGTTCTTAATTTACCTTAGTTTACTAAAAAACAAAATGAGTACGTTTTGGACCTTCCTTCTCCTGTACACCCTTTTGACTGGGAGGTCTGTGGTCATTTTAGTACATGTGCTTTTCCTGGAAATTAAATGGACTGTTTGCATAGAGCAATTAATGGCATTAGAAGGATGTCACCTGATTCAAATTTGAGACCTGTGCCTTTTCTCTGTATTTTTAGGAAGACCAGGCCTGAGATACAGGAAGGGATAAAAGTGTCACTGGCTAATCTTAAATCTGCCCATGTGGGTGTATAGATTGCAGACAATTCTAGTAGGTGGTAACTGAAATGATTATTTTTGGCTATATTGCCAATAAATTGGCTTTACCTAGATGTCATAGTAAATCTGATTTTGTTATTAAACTGCCCTAAATACTATCTTATCCCTATTGTTGGCTATGTTCAATTGCACAAGCACAATCTAAAATTTGTTCATTATAAACTAAACTTACATAATCTATGTTTTTCTGTAATTTTTTCCACTAAGCTTTCTTGAGGGCGTAAACAAGAATATAGATTTCCCACAACATATTTTAAAAATAACAAATGATTTCGGTATATTGAACCTTGAAAGGTAAATTGTGCTGTGTCAAATCTATCAGTGCACAGAGGAACAAAGCAAGGAGAAAGAAAGATTTTTTAAGTGAAAAACAGAAGAAAAATACAAGTGTGTTGTACATTATAATTCATTTGGAAAAAGGAAATGAAAATATAATACTTGAAACAACTCAAGCAACAAAGAGTTCTTCTCACTTTCATTGACAATATAATTTACAATCCAAAGCCTGGTTTTCTGTATTTTTTTCCAGGTCAAAGATCATCATGACTCCATTGAAGTTTTAAATTTCATTCCTTAGAAAAAATAATATGTAAAGCGTATTGCATGTACCCTACCATTTAAAAAAGTGCATATATGCAGTTTTCACAGTAGTTTTTATGTGGTAAGCGCTAGGTAAGAAAATAAAAAAGGACGTCTTTCAGATACCAATTATTGCAATTTCAAATCCCAATTTCTCCACAAACCTCCCTTTTCAGGTGATTAATAGAGCAATTATAACTTATTATCTGGGATTTCACTTTTACAAATAACAAAATGGAGTAAAGTTTGAGCTTAAAACATTGGCAGAACTGACTTTGGTTTCTCAACACTGAACATGCAATTGAACTCAAATTAGAAAGGTCAAGAAAGACCTTTTTAAGGGACTCTGCTCTTTGTCAGATGTATTTATTCATGTGCAGAGGATTAGAATTCATAAACATTTTGCCAGGTTTTTGAATGCTATTTCTTTCCCTTGTTGTTCTTGGCCAGGACATGTCAATACAGCAAAATACTGCTTCTTATGGCTTATTATTAGCAAATAATATGTATTGCATAACCCAAAGGAATTATAAAATCAGCAGGACCCATTGGCTCTACATCTGTGTAGACACATAGATGGGTACCAAAAAAAAATCTGATTTTTTAAAATTGTAAGTTATTTGAGTGTTGCACCCAAAGCGGGCCTTTTCTTTCTTTTAAATATCTTTATCCTGAAAATGATCTACTTAGCAAAACATCTCTTAACTATTCTTTTGAGAAATATGCACAAGGTCAGTCAAAATAATATACTATTGGATTAAAATTAATTTGAGCTTGGTAGAGGAAATTCCTGGAGGCAACTGATTTTGAAGACATACCAGAAGTCCATTTTTTTCTTTTTCTTGGCAAAGTCTATAACTTAGATTTATCAGTCCAATCAGTGTATGATGAATATTTTTTAACTTCTTCAATGAAATAGAAACACTAGCTTGGGAGCTGCAAGAAATTGAAGTGAGTATCTAAGTGAAAAGAATCATTGGGTTGCTTTGAAAGGCATTAGGGATACTTATGAGAACAGCCACATGGTTTTTAGAATTAGTATTAGAAGCATCTGTGAGATTCCCAGAGAATCTGATTTTGGTAATCTGTATTTGAGCTCCTTGGCAAACAATGTCACAGTTGCTTTAAGGCCAAATTTGCCTACTGTTATGCAAAGCCAATTAGTAGCACCCTGGGTAGCTTCCTCTGAAAGAATTTTTCCCAAGAGGTGAGAAAAGCTTTAAGCAGTTGCCATTCCTAGGGAATCTAAAACGAAAACATTGAAAATCTTCAAGCAAGTAAGAGAAAGGAGAGGACATGTAGTAGTAGAAGCCTTGGGTAGTGAGTTGAGAACATGGCCATTAAAAGACCACCTGTCAAAACAAAATAAATGATGATTTTAAGCTTGTTAGAGGAAAAGAAATTGTCATAGACCTGGAACTGCTGAGATGATGCTACAGGCTCTAGTACTGAAACTTCAGCACATACACTTGGAATGTATAGCATGTTTGGATCTCCCTCACTCTTTTTAAGGTTTGATTTCTGATTTCATTTTTCTTTCTATTTCTTTTCTTATTTTTTCTTTTTTTGTTTTATTTTGTAATTTATTTTTTATTTCAGCTTATTAGGGGGGTACAAATGTTTAGATTACATATATTGCCTTTGCCCCACCCGAGTCTTTTCCTTTCCTTTCTTTTCCTTTTTTTAAAAAAAATTCCTTTCCATTCTTTTATTTTCTTCCCTCTCTCCCTCCTTCTCTTCTTTTCTTCCTTCCTCCCCCCCCTATTTTTTTTAATAACTGCCATCTCCTGTTGAGTATGCTCAGCTGCTTTCATTTGACTTGGATTTCACAAACAGTGGCTAAACGTAGTGATTGTGTTTGTTGATAATCTTTCAAAGATGACGTTTTCCTCTAACGCTGCTGAAAAAGTCTCTTGAACTGAATCTAGTAGAGTGTTGACAACCACCCCTGAGGTGAACCCTGGAGATACTGTTGTCCAAGTTGCTTGTCGGGGGTCTGTTTGCGTTGGATTTTGGATGGGAAAGTTGTTTTGCCATCTATTTCATCCTTTAGATTATGTATGGCTGAGATTTAGTCCATGGGGGAATTGGTGTGAATCTGGGAAAGCTTACAAGCTCCTAAATAATTGTAATTCATGAGTAGGGGAAGAGGAACCGAATACAGAGACAATGCGTGATATGCCAGAGTAATGTTTTTACATGGTCTTCTTTTAGACTTCAAAGCCTCTTTGCACTCTGAAGAGAATGTATGGACAATCTAAAGGAGTAAAACTGTTTTGGAAAAATATTATTTGAAGATACTTTCTAGTGTAGATGTGGCCTATGATACTGCATTTCTTATATTCAATAAAGCAGAGCCTAAGTGATTATGGATTTATTTTTGTTTACCTGTTTCAGTAAATGCCAAATGA